CATTGACATTTGTGGAATTATGGGTTTAAGAGTTTTATTTTTCTATAGATAATTTCATAAGTGTTCATTTTATTCATGTTGTGCAAATTTTATGGTGATTGAAGAATTGATGTTAAATGGAGAAGAATTAGAAAAAGGACTTCAATGCAAGGAGCAAATTGCAAAGATAAAAAATATGATGATCAACTTGTGCGAAATCCAGGAGTCAGGGACCAAGACTGTTATTATGCCATTAAGCAAAATTGCACAAAAGGCCAAAAACCCGACACGGAGGATGCAGTTGACGCTCCACTCAAAGTGCCAGCACCTTGTAAAGAGTGTCGACCCCTTGCGCGATAATTCAGCCAAATCATATCTGTCCTACTTATTGTGATGTGGGCCCCACAACCATTCTAATTAGGGTTTCTAGGATTCTATAAATACCCATCTAAGTTATTTCAGAGGGGTTCCAAAGCCTGGAGAGGCGGCTATCAGGCTTCTATTTTCTTCTTCAAGGCTAGAGAATTATGTCAAAGGACAACTAAACTTTCAACAAGACTAAGGAGGATCTTGATTGAGGAGTTTGATTTGTTATTTTATTTTGATTCCTTCATAGATTTTATTGTTTAATTTTATTTTTGAGAGATTATTAATTATTTTCAAATTTGAAAACCCTGAAAATTATATTTATCAAATTTCATATAAGATTAGTCATGCTCTTTTTATGTGTGATTTGTTAGAATATAATTGATTGATAGATTTGTTTTGCGGGTTGGTCCTTTACTGCAGTATTGTCGATTAGATATATTGTCGCTCTCGGATAACTCGTAATGATAAATTAGTTTGCTTTTCATTGAAATTAATTTCTCTCAAAATAAATACATTAGTTATTATTATTGGTCTTCATAGTTAAATCTTCCGATTGTTTGTTTGGGATGTGAAACATGCAATTGAGTAATAAATAGGAATGAAAATTTATAATAGTTAAACAAATCAATTAAGTGAACCCTGAAGTCTTGTTCATCATAATATTGTTTTTAATCTTTTACAATTATTATCTTTTATTTAAATATTTTTATTCTTAATTTTATAATTCATCTTTTAATTTAATTTATCATTGTGACAACTCTTTTTGTTGATTTAATATAGCTTCCCTGTGGATTCGACACCTAAAGCTACGCTACAACAACCGCTTAGCTAAAGGGTATTAATTTTGAGGCGAGACATCAGTCATCCATGAAGGATGAAATTTTATGATGAGCTACTCCATCAACCAGCAAGTCTGCAATTGGCATAGGATACTCATCCTTTGGTGTGGCTAAGTTCAAGTTTCAAAAATCAACACAGACTCTTAATTTTTCATTCTTTTTAAGCACAAGCACTACATTTGACAACCATTCTGCATACCTGCATGTCCGAATGAATCCAGCTTTTACCAGCCGCTTAATTTCTTTTTTCACTTTCAAGGTGACCTCTGCAGACATGCGTCTAGGTTGCTATTTATATGCTCTGAATCCTTCTTCAATTGGCAATTTATGTTCCACCAATTTTTGATCTAGACCTGGCATTTCTGAGTAATCCCAAGCAAAACAGTCTTTAAATTCATGCAAAAGTTTGACAATTTGATCTCGTGTTTGCGACTCAAGAGAACCGTTGATAAATGTTACCTTTGGCTCACTTTCAGACCCTAGATTGATCTCCTCCAATGGGTCTTGAACTTCATCTTTTAAATCATCCAACTTGTCTGGGGCAAGATCCAGCTTCTCCAAAGTTATTTCATCACCCTGGCTTCATGAACAATTTCAGAGTTGTCTACTTGAATTGTTTTTTCAGCAAAATAGGTCGCTAATTTCTTTGTTATCTCCAACATGGCCTTTTCTCTTTCTTGTCTTAGACGAGCTTGCTTCGTTAGATTTCTTTAATTTTTAGTTTCCCCTTCGGCTTATAAGGAATTATTGTTGTTGGCCGAAGAAGTTCATCATAGACTTCCTCTACAACATGCTTAGACAATGACGGTCTGCTGCATGCTGTTATCCTAATCGGCTTCCCATGTCTATCCATCCCAAAAAATCGAATGGTACCAATGTCTTCTTCATAATATCTAGCCTCCACCAGGTGGGTATTAGCTAAAAAAGGCTTATCATCTGTAGACATCACCCCAGCTTTGCCACCATTCCAGAAAATCAGTTTCTGGTGAAGTGTAGAAGGGACACACCAACTTGAATGAATCTAGTCACGTCTCAAAAGTGCGTTATAAGTAGCAACAGTATCCACCACAAAAAACGCAGACATCAATGTCTTATTTCTCACTGTTAATTCAACAGGAACACACCCCTTGAACGATTCACCCCTCTTATAAAATCACTAATTGTAACCTTAGTATGTACTAAATCATCAAAAAACTTGCCTATTTTGTAGAGCATGCAAGTTGGAAGGACAACGACTGCAGCTCCATTGTCCACCAAGACACGGTTGATTGGAGTCCTATCCATGTGAGCATTGATATAAAGTGGCCTAATGTGTCTGGCCATCTTTTCTTCTGGTTTTTCAAACACAATTTTGTCAGCCATGTCCTCCTCTTCATTATTTTGGGTTGGAACAATGATTACATCTTCTTCTGTCTGTTCTGGGAACTCACAGACGATTAGTTCCTCCTTCTTGGCTTGAAAAACCAAGGGTAATGTCAGCACCAGACATGACAAATTCACTGAGAATTCCCCAAAACGAATAGTGTCATCTTTTTTTGGTTCAGCTCCACAATTCTCAGACTATTCTTGTGCTGCAAAAGTTGCTTTTAAAACTCCATCTTGACTCACAATGACAGATGCCACCTTTGGAGAGGCTGGAGATTGGTCATCTCCCTTCAGTAGAGTCTGGGTTACAGTCTCATTTTTCTCTTTTCTCACCCACACCATGTTCCATTTGGTAGGTTGGCGTGGTCTACGAGATGAACTTCCCTAAGCCTCCACTTGCTTCTGTTGCCTTTTTCGCTCTTCAGCCCTCTTGTATTGTAGTTTGCGCCTCAAGGTTCTAGGATTTTGGGCTGGAAACTTCGGATGACTGACTTTCTCCCATTGTCTAGACAGTGACCTAAGTGGTGGTTTGACCATTCTCGGAGATCTAATACCAGTTGAGTGACGTCTAGCACCTTCTGGGCTAAAGTTCCTAGTCACAATGATCCTTCCTTGCCCCCCGACCCTCTGCTGATCTGGCCTGATGCTTCTGCTATGTCTGGACCTTTGCGCCTCAATGACCCACCTCAAGTCTTCAGCAGTAAGGTTCCTTTGAGCATAAGGCAGACTACGATTTCTGGCAACACTCTTTAGGTCTGCAACATTCATGCCAACAGACATAGCTGGAAAAGGATCTGCATCTACTCCCATGGTTTCCTTCGCTTTGTCTAGAAATTTCAAGATACCTTTATCAATCTTTTCTTGTAAGACATTACGAAAAATAAGACAATTATCAGTAGAATGCTTCCAAGAATTATGAAATTTGCAATAATCTCTAACTCCGATTTCAACCGTTGTCGGGATTTTATGTCCCGGCGGCAGCTTAATCAGACCACTCTTTTTAAGGTGGTCGAATATATCACTAGCTTTTGACACATCAAAAGTATACTGTTTTCCAACCTCACCAACATAACGTCTCATAGGCCACATCAAGATCAAAATTAGGGTCACTGTAATAGGTTCCATGTGATGCAGCAAGGAATGCCTCAGACGACTCTCCAGGCTTTTGGGCTAACCTCAACAAGTCTGCCATAGATACTTCCGGTTCACAACGATAAAATTGAGTAGGAAACAAGTCCTCCATTTGCCTCCAAGAGTAGACTGAATTTTGAGGTAGATTGAGGTACCAAGTAAGGGCTGTCCCAGTCAAAGAGCTAGGGAACAATTTGAGTTTCAAGGTATCATCTCCAGACGCCTCTCTACACTGTATTGTGAAGCGTCCAATATGTTCAATAGTGGACTGACCAACCTCATCGGAAAATAAAGTGAACTCAGGCACTTTAAAACCCTTTGGAAAAGGATTTTCATGATCAATGACGTCTGGATAAGGCTTCCTGTAGGCTGGACATACCAATAGTCTCAAGGCTGGTCCATAGGTTTCTTGTACTAGATCTATTAGTTGATCTCTATTGAATAATTGAGCTGGTTGATTCTGCAGACCACGCTATACCGGCTAGGCTGGAGGAACTTGTGGCTAGAAAAAGTCCCTTGTGTAGGGTTGATGATGAGGACCCACATTTCCCCTCTTACCTGGCGAAATATACCTATGCTGAGGTTGATAGCCATGGTCTGCAATAGGAGCAGCAGCTTCCATTGGTTTATGCTGTCTTTGTCCTTAACCCATGAAGAAATTCTGCTGTTGAATGTTAGGATGAGGCTGATTCCCTTGCCCCTTGAGTGCTGGGATTGGGGCTTCTTGAATCTGTCTGGGCATTTCAACGACTTGAGGAGGGATCTCAGGTCTGGGTTGTCGCACTTGCTCAACCACTTGTTCTGAAACAGCTTGCAGTGTTCTGTGACTTTCTTCCCCAGTTTCTCACATCACCCTAGTGCCTTCTTCAAAAACTCGTCTCAAGTCTTCCACACATTGTCTAATTGTCTCTTACTTATGTCTGGAGGATTCTGCTTAACTCTCAACAAGTCTCCGCATAGCTTGGTTCTGTTCTTTGAATGCTAACTCTAGACGTTCAGTCATACTTATAAACACATTGCTTGATTCAGCAAAGTCACCCTAACGGTTTGCTTCTTTCTCCTTAAATACTAGATTCCCATATGACCGTTCTGCCAAAGGTGACACTGGGAGAAAAGTGATGGGATCATTTTCACTCTCAGAGTGGAGTGGACTATCATCTGCATGCTCAGCTTGGGCTGGCTAAACCTCTTTATCTTTGCTCTTTCTCAGTGGCATAGCTCTAGACACCTCTGGATGTATAAATAGAGGATCTGTGAACTTTAACTGATACACCTTGTTGGTGGTCCCACCAGGCGTGCCAACAAAAGATTGTTTCCCCGAAAATCTTTAGCCGACCTTTACCACGTGAGTTTGGTTATTAGGCGTGTCATTTGCTTTGTTTAAAAACAAGAAAACTGGATTTTCCAGATGACCATTCTCTTTTCCAACAGTCAACCTCCAATAGGATGGCTGGAAAGAATGTCTGTAAAATGAATTGCGCCCCAGACAATGTTGCAAAACAGATGATAGAGTTCTGCAAAATGAGTTACTAATTGCCTTGGAAACCTCCAAGGACTTCACAACCAAACAAGTGTAATAAAAGCTACAAATTCTAAAATAAATGCAATATCCTGAGGCAATTAAACTAACATGAAGTAAATAACAGAAAATAACATGCCATAAAGATTAAATTCACAGATAACAAAAAAAAGTAAAATAACAGACAATGATTTCGACTATGCAACCCATAATGATTAAACTAATTACTGGCAGAATTAAAATAACAATAACTAAACAACTTGATTGTTAAAACTACAAGAAATAACTACAAATTAATTGAAGTCTAGAACTGGAAACTAAAATTAAGTGAACTGAATGTTTGGATATTGTGTAGAGACAAAAGAACAAAGGTAGAAAACGTTCAACCTATTTACATGAACGAATAACATAACTAAATCATAAAAGGAAGAAGAACTAACCGAATCAAAAGGGCAGACCTGTTTTGAAGGCTAAGTTGCTTCAAAATGCTTAAAAATTAATCTAAAATGGAATTTGCGGAAGAAAATATGAACAAAGATGAACAAACCTAGGCTAAGGCTATGAACAAGAGTAGATCTTGCAAACTAATCTGGAAAATCTGAAAACTATTACTAAAATCTGGAAAATGTAGTCTGAAAGCTGAAAAACATGTTATGGGCAGTGTATGTGTGTTGGGCTGGCCTCTCAAATGTTCTCTTCTCTCTATTTTTGTTCTCTTCGGTGCTGGGAACTTTCTCCATGATTTTCGGTATTGTTCCTCCATGATCTGGTAGTGGGGTTGTATGTCTGGCAGTTGTTTAACAGTTATCCAATAATTTTATTTATCCTTATCTCCAACAATCTTAAAGATAACTACCTAAAAACCCTTAATTTCCCATTTTAAATCAAACTCAAACTACCAAATCCTATCTTATCTTCTGTCATCTAAGATCCAACCTCCTTGAAAATCCGTCTGGCCCATTAAATTTTAAGCTAGCCCAACCCAAATCCAAATTATTGATTTTCTTGATAATTAGGCTTTACCTTGACAGGTGGCTTTACCCTGACACGTGGCTTTACCCTGACACGTGGCTTTACCCTATTGGTTTATTTTAGATGTAAACACCACCTCCTGAATTTTAGTGAAAACAGACTCAATTTATCTCAAAAAGGTACCGATAAAATCTAATCTTTTTATCTCATTCTTTCCTATGTGATAACTAATCTATC